CCGACCGGACTGCAGGAGAAACTACAGCCCGACCACTCGCTTTCAAACACTTCACAACCCACCACAGCAACCTGTATACTGTAAGAAACTGGACAGCCTGTCTGTTAAACCGGTTTATTTCAAATCCCAGTTCAGCAGCTCGTTCATCTTCTCTGAGACCATTTTCCTGACGACGCAGAATAAAAAAGTGTCGAATTCAAAGACTGTAAAATGTTCGTTTTTTCAAAAAATATAATGGAAAAAGCAATACCTTGCTGAAATTAAGGACTTTACACTTACTTTGAAAATGCGAAGAAATATCCAGTGTTCAATTTAAAGCAGAAATAACACATCCAGAAACCCGGAGAGAAAGACGAGAGAAACAGAGGCGCTCATACTGACTTCAGACTGCTCGCGCTCGTTTGTGCGCCTCTCTGATAGGAGACTCCAGCTGTCAATCAGTGAGCTCTGACCACTGAGAGACGGGGGGGCGGGGCTTATACATGCCCAGAGCGAATGGGGGTTTTAATCAATTCAATTCAAGAAGCTTTATTCGCATGACTAATGAATACTGACTTAATACTCTCCTGATACTAAGGAGGTAAGTATGAACTCTTGATACTTAATACTGAGTAATCATCTTTAGGATTTGAATGGCTTGTTATTATGAGACTGATTCCTCCTGATATTCCACAGTTATTCCCAAATCCAGGGTCACTGGCTCTGCCACATTCAGCCTGTAGACCCTCAGTCAGGAGTAAGCAGAGACCAGAGCACATGGCCTTCAGGGAAAATGAGGTTTCTACACTGTCAGTCCCTCCAAGAGAGACTCTGGCCATTAGACATAAACACAGGAAGGAGATAGAAATTCCCAAACTTTGATTGATCTTCACAGCCCACATGTAGGATGTTACAGTAACATGTGATTGAAATACATCTCCTTCTGTTTACACACCAGGAAAGACCATCTCACACTAAAGAGACCTTCTGGACTCAAGAACACAATAACCCCAGACACTAGGGTTTAAAACAGTATCTCTACCATCAAGAAGAGACAGACCTACCTGCAGCACTGCACAGCCACTGCCATTCTGAAACACAGAGACACAGACACTGTTAATTACAGACACACACTGGGACACACAGATACAGACACTTTTAATCACAGTCACACACTGGCACACAGAGACACAGACACTGTTAATCACAGACACACACTACACCACAGAGACACAGACGCTGTTAATCACAGTCACACACTGGAGCACAGAGACGCAGACACTGTTAATCACAGACACACACTGGAACACAGAGATACAGACACTGTTAATCACAGTGACACACTGGACCACAGAGATACAGACACTGTTAATCACAGTCACACACTGGAACACAGAGATGCAGACACTGTTAATCACAGTCACACACTGGA